TTCAGGCTTTAATTAAAACAAGAAAGTGTCACTTTCATGTAAGCACCTTTTTCTGATTCTGCACAACTTGGATGTTCTTGTTTGAATAGGGAAAACTGTTTATCTGTACTCACAGTTGATTTTTGTGTTCTGTCTCTTTACAGTGCATTTGCTCGATACCCTAATGCAATAGTCGTGCATTATTTCTGCTCCAAAGAAGTCAACACATTGGACACCTGACCTTGTCATGGTTAATAATCCCAACATTCATATGAAATTTGGAACTGACGACTTAAGAAGTTGATGCCTCTGAGATTTTTGAGGCTTGTTGCTAGGTTCTCTTATACTAGCTAGAAGTCATTTGTATCTGTGGACTGACCGAATCTATCTGGTAATATTGATTTACTAGAAAATGACTTTAACCATGTTGTTATAGTGCTGGCAACTACACCAAACCTCTCAGTACTCAGATGAAGAATAGAAATTGATTTTTGTAGTGGGTTTTCTATTGCACTCCAACCTTGCGAATGAGTTGTTAGACAACTGTTGGGCGTTCACCACAAGTCAAGTTTTACTATAAAACTTACCTCCTTAGAGTGACAATGTTGTGATTTGGCCCTGTATGTAAATAGTTCTTTAAAAAAAAAAAAATTCCTTTAAAGTTTTTGCAGCTGTATCAGTGTTGCATGGAGATTACCAGGTGTTTGGCATGGAGAAGGCTTCTGTGCCTATTTCTAGACCTGGAAAACAGAATTTTACTTTCATCTCAGTAATGGGAATGTTTAAGTGCTGGCCAAAGGAATATTTTTATTGATATTCAGTGTTATCACCTGACCTTCTGATAAGAAGTTGTTCCACAGGAGATAGTCAGACAAACAGTAGGTACCACTAGTAAGCATTTTTTTTTCTTTTTACTTTAGTTTGAGAGCTATAAATTGAATTAACTTGTGTGTTTTTTGCACTGAATATGGTCACTCTTAGCATGAGTGGAAGCTCAGAGATTATTCTAAGAAGTTCACATCTGCACTCAAACCAAAAAGCAAAGAACACACTGTAAATCAACTTCTGAAGGGAGTGAACTATAGTTATTGATTAAGCTTCTAGACTACACTTGAGATTTGCGTATGTAAGTTTTTTGGTCTCTGGTTCACTTTCCAGCATTGAAGTAAAATCCAGACTATTTCAACATCTCTCTGTTTTAAATGCTCTAGAACTGTGTTCTGCTCAGGCTGGTACTGTTCTTAAGTTACTCTTGGGCCAGAAGTCTTAACTACAAGAACTAGATTGTACCATACTCCTTGTAGGCTGTAATGTTTTTTGTCTAACTTATTTTTTCCACAAACTTTAACCTATAGCAGATTGGTATGAGGGATATTAAAATGTTTGGTGCAGAAAGAATCTGTGCATTGGTCATGAAAAGGCAGCAGTAGCAAATAACCCAATATTGGGCTATTTGACTCCCAACATCCTGGTCTAGCAATACTTATAATATGTAATTATTAAATAGTATGGAGTATGGCATGTAACTACCAGATACCACCTCTTAATGAACAAGTAGATGAATACAGCCTGTCTGCCTAAGGTGTAATTGGATCTCAGTTAACGTTACAGGTTTACTTAAGCCATTGTTACGTGAGCGTTTCTTAGTAACAGATCTGCTGTAGGTTGACAAGAGTCCTAATTAATTTTCATTTGCCAGCGTTAATAGTTTCCCTTGATAACTGTTTGTTTTTTCCCTTTCCACCTGTGTTTGTATTTATTGTTCATATGCCATGCATTCTTATGGATTTCTTGGTCCAGTGTCATGCTACTTTTGTACTTGGATGTCTTGGGCAGTATTGCTACTGATGTCTTTCTGCAGAGGCTGGGTAGAGGGAATCTGTGGTGTTAATGTTTTTAACCTTGTATTTCTTCTATTTGAAGAAGAGAGCCTAAAAATACTTATATTGGATTTGCACATTCTGTATAGATCTTTATATACTAGTTCAGGTACAGAGGGAAGATGGTTTGGGAGAGTTGTGTTTACAGGTCATTGAGAATGAAAGAAGGGTATTTAAAAAGGCCCTGTATTCTTTGTATACAGATATAACAATATTGCTCTGATTTTTACCTATCTTATATTTAGTACTGTTAGTCTGATTTTTATTTACCTTTGTTATCTGCTACCAGGAGAGCTGCATTCGCATATGAGGGTCTTCATTGTGCTCTTACTTAAACGGTTAAGGTTGTGCCCCTGTTCACCTTCATTGCATACCTTTTACAGAGATGTGGTTTGTGCTGTAACTTTTTTTGTTGGTTCTTATAATGTGGTTTGGGTTTACTAACCATACAGCAGGTTTATCTAAAGCAATAGATTGTAATAAATATTGTGAACCAGTGTGTGTGTTTCAGTCATTGTGCAGTTAAGCTTCTCTGGGCTGCTGTAGATTTTTTTTTTTTTTTTAATATATTAGTCCTTACTTTCTCCTGAAAGTCAGACCCAATACAGGGGCTCCCAGTATCGCTCCTGCTTTGATATGTGTAATTCAAATGAGGCTACATCATATGAGAGCTGTCATCACTTCTCAACTTTGTTTTTGAAATCTACAAGTTTATAGTATGCTTGTGAATGTTCTCAAAATCCTACTAAACCCACTTTTGTATTCTCTCTTTGAATAATGTTTTTGAAAGTCTTATACCATTAAATATGTACTTATTAGAGAACACTAAAATTACTGACAATTTTTTTTGAGTGGTCATATGCTGTTTCGGGGTGAGGAGGGATGTTGAGCTCTGTGTGACCAAATCAAGAAATGCTTAGATTCACAGGTTTGCAGCTGCTTGAATTGTAGGTCATAAACTAGTCTAGTGTTGGAAGTAGAATATAGATCCTCAGTTTTTGCATTCTGTAGAAATGGGAGATATCAGCACTGAAGAAGAATATTTTGTTTCTGTGTTGGACAATTGAGTATATTGGTATTTCTGGAGAAGACCAACCCACCAAAAAATAAACCCAAATCAAAACCTTGATAGCATCCTTTGGAATCTCATCTCTTCTAATTATACTGCATCTCAGCTCTCCTCTTAGTGCTGCGAATGGGAGCAAAAGGGGTCCCTTGTGATATCTATGCACATTTTAAGTACTATATAGTATAGTTGGTGATGGTGTCATTTGTTCGTGCTTGCTGACACCAAAATAACTGAATGAAATGTAGGTATACATCTACCTTTACCACTATGGGGATGCTAATCCAAGCAGAAGTTAAGTTACCAGGTGGGAGGCCATCTGTGTTGCCTAATGTTTTGATGCTGTTTTGCTTGCTTGTTTTCTTAGTCTGCTAGGAAATGACGAAAGTAGCTTCTCTTTGGATATTAAGTTGGCTGTCAACATTGTCTGTAGATAGCTAAAACTGCACCTAAACACTGTTTGCTAATGGATGATCTGTTGACTATGAAACAATTCTTAAGCATATGTTCTAAAGAGTTTTCAGTTTTTCTTGAGAGAGAAATTCAAGAGAAATTATATAAACATGAGATCCCTGTGCTGAGATTTCATTGGAAGATGAGAGAACACTTCAGGAGAAGGCAGGTAAGCCTGATTTTAAATGCAATTGGGCACTCACAAGGTAAAATACAGGCTTTATATACTGCCTATAATAAGCTGTTTAGAATTAGTGTAGTTTCTCCATGTTAGCTTACTGTGTAAGGCTGCTTCAATTTTCTGGTAATTTATAGTTGAGCTATATTAGATTAAATATAAATAAATCACACTTATGATTCTGCAGTTTTTCAAAGATAAATAAAACCTCATATGACAGTCCTTCACTTTGAATGCAGCAGTATGTAGAAATGCAAAGAAATTGCTGCTTCAACCCAGTGTCTATCTTTACCAAGCCATTTAGTACCACACAAGAGCTTTACAGCAGTTGCTGGCTGTTCTGCAATGTTATGATACTTGCTTTTTGCCTGTGCATTGACTCTTAAGTCTGTGAATTCACTAACTAGTACTGACTTGTTTGTGTTCTAAATGTCAGTGCCTGTGCTTTTATTAATTTTCTTAAATTCTGATCTAGTGACTGACACTAATGACAGGAAATGATTAATGAATGGGACCTTGCTGAGAATGTGTCACATTCTCATGTTTGTGTGGAGCTGGTGACATCCTGCATTACTGGCTTTCATACATTCTCTGCCACTTTCTAATTCCTGAAACACTTAAGTTTGTTTTTTGGTCTGCTGCTTCAGTTTAAGCTCTTTAATAAAAAGCTCCAGACAAGCCAGCTGTCAGCAGCTGTTAATAAACTAATCACTTCCTTTACTACTTAAATATTTCTAAAGACACAGTAGATGCATAAAAAAATCTGCCCAATCTGTTGTACAATTTTTCAATAACCTTTGGTGGAGAATCAATACTGAGCTACATGGAAATGAGAATAAAGGGGGGCACAAGCGCAGGCCGCTCACATAGCAAAAGGTTAGACATGGCGGTGAATCAATATTCTCTGAGGTATCCTAATGCAGACCATGTTGTGGTGTCTCTGCTCAGGCCTCCCTGAAACTTCTCACAACAGCTACAGTCAATGACAAATTTGGCTTTGCTTCAGGCTTGTAAGATGGGAATTTCTTTATATTTAAAAATACTAGTTTAGGCTATGCTGAAACTCTGAGAGGGTTTAAAATGGTCAAAGTCCTAGGTCAGGTTGCTGGAACTCTCAAAGGAAATCTGGACTGGGGGTTTTGAGGTTGTGGGTTAATCATGGAGTGGTGCTTCCTCCTACCCAGGGCTTCCCTGTTTGGTGCTACTTTGCTGCCCTTATCTTTTACCAGTATTTGAAAAACCTGCCAGCGAGGTTTTGAACTGGGTTGTTTGGCAAGCGCAGGCCACACCTCCGCTTCTCGCAGTTGGAGCGCAGCCCAGTCCTGCGCAAAACTTCAGAGCGAGCCTGTAAAGAGCAGCCCTTCGCAGCCAGGCGCCTGGGGACTTCTCTGTTTTCTGTGTTTCCCTGTCAGGTTTTCTGCGGAGACGACGGGACATTTTTCCCATGTTCCATGAGGTGCTGCGGGGCCCGTTTCCACCCAGAGTGCTGCCTTTTCTGGCAGCTGTGCTTTTCCAAAGGAAGGAGAGGAAAGAGACTGGGTTTTATCACTGGCGGGTAAGACAAATTGTAGCGCTGTCTTTGAGACACCATTCCTTAGCCGATGTGTTCGGCAGTGACTTGCTGTTACTGCACGTGTGGAAAACCAGTCCTGCGCTTCTGCGGGAATTAATCAAAAAGTTTATAGTTTGGGGAAAATTTTGGATAACAAGAATGCTAATGGAGATTCCAGGTTTTTAGTAAATTCAGGGTCTGTGTGAGGCAATGCAGAGCAGGTCTCTTTCCTTAGGTTTTGGGAAGCAGAATTAAGCTGATGCCATGTATTTTGGGGGGGGGGGGAAGGAGAGTGCAGAATACTGCACTTCTCATCAGTAGAGACAAAATAGTGCTTATCTGTTTTCTTGCAAAATATCCTTGATTACCATTCCCTTCCTTTCTGCTTTCTAACTTATCCCACAGGGCTTAATAATCTACAGTAGACAAAGATTAACGATGACTTCACACCCTGTTCATAATGCAGCACAACCACATTAGATAAAGTGGTTTCAATGTGTTTGTCCTTTAACTGGTGTATAATCATTCCATTGTATACGATGGCCTGGCCAATAACCTCGATTTTTGAATTGCACTAAATGTTTGCGAAGGAGCCTTTCCCTGGGAGATCTGGTCTGTCATCTGATTACCTGTCCTGCTGACCCCCACACCTCAATCTACAACTTAAAATTGAGGTGATCATTAGATGTCACAAGGTGGCTTGCTGCCTCTGTGCCTGTCCACACTTCTGCTTGCTGTGTGATAAAAATTCAACATGATCAGATCTCTAATTTTCCAGAGTTTAGCCTTAGTTTCACATATCTAAAGACAAACAGCAATATAAGTGGGAGCGAGCCTAGTGTTTGCCACTGCTGTTGTGATACTGAGCTGCTAGCACTACTCGTATCACCCGACTGATCATAAAACTTGCCCTCCAGAAGACCATGGTTCTTAGGACTGGGTCTGAATTCTCCTTTTATGACTGTGGGTGCACACTTCTGTGAGAGGAAGGAAAGTGCAAGGGGTGCCTAGGAAAGCCAGGAGTTTGCTTTTGGGTTTAAAAGTAAACTTGTGGCACTTTGACCACAAGGAAGGAAATTATGGGCAGCAGTGTTTACCTGGGAGCAGGAACAATACAGGGAGTAAGTGCTCCTTTGTTAAGCCAGACATTTTTTTTGAGCTACCTGATTTGCCTGGTAGCTTTGAACACAAAAGAAAATACAGCTTAGAAGTTACATTTTTATTTGCTACTGATTTTGCTATTATTGCTAACAGTTGTTAGCAGGGTTGAGTGTGTGAAAATTCAGTCTTGTACGCTCATTTAAGGATTTCAAGGGGGTTTGTGCTTCAGATGCAGTCTCCTGAGCTCTGGAAAAGGTGATTCTGAAAAATCATTAAAGTGCAAAGTAGAAACTGGTTGCTTGCACCCATTGCATATGTCGGTGTGCTTTCATGTATGCTGGTATAGGCAGAACTGTCGTTATTTGTTGCTCATTTCCCATACAGATTTCTTGCCTGCCTTTTCCCTGATGCATTCAGATAGAACATATCTGATATTCTCATGCTTCATTACTCTGCATGCTCACCTTGCAACATGTTATGACCTTGCTGTGCCTTGGCTAAAAGATAAGTAGAAAGGGCAGATGGGAAGGTTCTGGCATAACTCGTAGCACAGACTTGGGAGCACAGTGAAATGTCTGTTGCGTTACGTGCCCTTAAATTATGATCTGGGTGTGGAAAATGTATCCTCAGCTGTGTAATGACTGCCTGCAAATCAAAGGTTGTTAGAGACCTTTGGAAAGGACTTTATTTTGAACATGTAACTATATATTGATAGATGGTGTGCAGTAAAAGAAGGATATGCTGTCTTCAGGGTGTACTGTGCTTCCTCTGCTGATGGTGTCAGATTTCCAGATGATAGGCTACCTGAGTGAAGATTGCTTTGACAGCAGTGGGGGTGTGATTATGTAGCTTCATTTCTCAACAACCTGAAGAGTTGCAGCACCTTTAGGAAGTCGTTGAGAATCACATACGCAATCTTGAATTTCTGTAGTCCATTCCCCACCTTGATGAGGTAGAAAGGAGGTCAGGCTTTGCCTGAGGAACTAGTGTCAGTGACTGAACAAAATAGAGGTGATTAGGAAAGGTTTAAAAAGGAGGAAAAACTAGCATCTGAAGGATAGAGCTCATGGTGAAATTCGATGTGAAGGCATGGCTTGTTCCCAGAAACAAATGAGGGAAGGAGTATCTTCAGCATGTTGATGCTGCAAATATAAGTCCTTTAACAGTAATAATGGTATAATTGGAGTTTATTTGCACAAATTTAATTTAGCACCTGCATGTGAGCCATCTTAGACAACCTGTGTAATTTTTACCCTTCACTTGTTCATCAGGGTGGATGGTACTCAGTACAAAGATGTTCAGTATACTATGTATGTCTTGGTTTTATTGGGTTTTGTTCAAACCCTGTTTTGCAAAAGCCGGCAAGTATCTTAAAGTGGTAAGAAATATGGAAAACTCCAGAAATATGTGACTGCTTAACAAACATAGTACAGTTCCATTTATCAGATAACGAATATTCAAGGAGAGCTTGACAGTTCAGGGTTCATTGGTTTCCTTGAGATCCTAGTTAGTAATATGTAGGGCCAATGTTTTTATATAATGTTTGGCGTACTGCAGCATTTTGTTGTAAGTGAAGATCCCATTGAATTCAGTTGTAGGTGAATACTTAGCATATCTGAAATTAAACTCTGGTCTCAAGCCAACCATGTAGAAAATGATGAACGTGAAGTAGTGACCACTTGTGAAAAGCATTTTGAAATGGGATTTAAGAATAGAAAAGGTTCTTAGCTGGACAGAATTGTGTCATAACTGATGGAAATCAGGCAGAATCCCATTCTGTTCATGAGCCTTACACAGCTGCTTCTGTGCGGTCTCTGCACTAAATCCTTTCAAGCTGTTTTCTCCTGTCTTCCCCCTCCCCCCCCCTTAGTCCTTCATGATCTTCTAGGATTCAGTCAGGCTTTTTTTTCCTCTTCACATCCAGGCAATTAGATACTAACATTACTTTCCAAAAATAGCCTCCTAGAAGCTTTCAAGAGCAAGGATTACATTTTGATCTACGCTGGTAAAGTGGCATGCATGTTTATAGTGCTGATACCAGTAACAGTCCAGAATGAAAAGGAATTTAAGGTTTGTCTTTTCTTGCTCAAACTGCCATGAAGTATGTGTTCCTACAAGAAAGTGAGTTTTTTCTTCTTTGTAAACAGTGTATGCTTTCTATGTCTTTAGACCATGCTGTTAAGATTCTCGCCGTGTCTGCTATTACTCAAGCATGCATGTGCCCTTGGCAAATAGTCTTAAACTAGCCAAGTCATGATGAAAATCATTTGAGCAGCTTCAGTGTCTGCTTATCCTTCAGCAGGAATGAACTAACGAAGAAATTCAAAATTGTTCTGTAATTAGAGGAAACCCTAAATAAAGGACTTATTTTCTGAAGTCTGTGAGGAGTTATCCTAAGACATCACGCATTGCCGTGCTGAAAGGGAATTGAGTTTCCTTCTAGACTCCTTTAGTCCTCTAGTCTTCTTCCAGGACACTGAAAGTGCTGTGTGTGTTCCCAAACTGACTCATTAATAGTTTATTTTGGGCTGGCTGGTCTGATCCATTTCTCTGGACTGATACTGATGTGGTCATAGAACAGGCATTGCAGTTGAGTTACATGCTGAGCTTGTTTCTCTCTTTTCAGTGGGAGAAGCACCCTTACTACAACCTAACAGTAAAAGTCCTCCGAGCCAGAAACATCAAGGGTACAGATCTGTGTAAGTATTTAGTCAAGGTGTTATGAAAACAGACTGTTTGTTGTATGCATACCTGTAACACAGGTAGCATTGTTATGGGAACTTCTTATCTACACATAGTATATTGCCTTTATGTCTGAACAAAGGCTTCTCTTGTAAAGCATTATATGTATTTTAAAAGCTTGATACAAGGCCAAGCTGCAGATTAACCCTGCTACTTGCAGAACAAGATCGGGTATGTCCTGGTGATGTTTTGCTTCCCTGCTCCTTTACACATCCTACTGTGGCCCATTCTGTGTTCCTTTGTCTGGATTCAGCTCTCTGGTCATGGCAAATTTCACCCTTGCTCCTGCTGAACAGTCTTCTTGCGCTAGAAGTAGCAATCTTCAATTCTAGCTTCCAAATATTTATTTTCTCAGTTGTAGTAGTGCTTTCTTTCATGTGCCTGCTATTTTGTTGATGTAATTGAAGCTTTTTAAGAGGGTAGGTGGTTGACTGATTCCAAGACAAACTGCTTTTTACCTCTTCCTGGTTTTGATAGCATGGTATATATTCCCTTTCTCTTATGCATCTGTGTTGAATAAAGCTCTTAGGGCTGTTTGGGGCATTTGGACCTTTAAAACTCTCTTGAGATTTAATTCCTTCAGATTTAATACAGTAAGGTAGTCTGCCTGCCTCAAGTTTATATCTGGCGTCCAACACTGAACTATTGGAATGCTAAATGACTGTCCGGGGAATGGAAAACCCTCCTGAAAGGCTGAGGGCTAGAATCACACTGTGAAGAGAAGTTCTTTTCATGGCCTTTCTGTTCAACTGGAGTGAAGAATGGTTCTCATACTTGCGTTGTTAAAGGGGCCTTAACTGGAAGAAGGAAGGACTCCGAGACAATTGGTTATTTTTAGGGAATGTAAACAGAAGGCTCAGCTCCTGGCCAGGCTAGATGAGGGTATAGCAGTGGTGGATATTGTCTACTTGGACTTCAGTAAGGCTTTTGACACTGTCTCGCATAGTATTCTCATAGAGAAGCTGATGAATTATGGGCTAGATGAGCAGACAGGGAGTTGGACTGAAAACTGGCTGAATGGCAGAGCTTAAAGGGTGGTGATCAGTGGTACAAAGTCTAGTTGGAAGTCAGTAACTAGTGGTGTAACCTAGGGGTTCCATTCTGGGTCCCATATTGTTCAGTGTCTTCATTAACGATCTGGATGATGGGGCAAAGTGTACCCTCAGCAAGTTTGCTTATGTTACAAAACTGGCAGGAGTGACTGGTACGCTGAAGGGTCATGCTGCTATCCAGCAGGGATCTCAATGGGCTGGAAAAGCAGGCTGATGGGAACCTCATGCAGTTCAACAGAAAGAAATGGAAGTCCTGCATCCAGGGAAGATCAGCCCTGTGCACCAGCATATGCTGGGGGCTTATTGGCTGGAAAACAGCTTTGCAGAAAAGGACCTGGGGGTCTTGGCGGACAGCAAGCTGACCATAAGCCAGCAATGTGCCCTTGCTGCCAGGGAGGCTAATGGTATCCTGGGCTGCATTAGTAGGAGCATTGCCAACAGGGCAAGCAAAGTGATCCTTCCCCTCTTCTCAGCACTGGTGGGGCTGCATCTGGAGTACTGTGCCTAGTTCTAGGCACTCCATTAACAGAGATATTGGAGCTACCAAAAAGAGTCTTGTGAAGGGCCACTAAGACTGTAAACAGACTGGAGCGTCTCTCACACTAGGAGAGGCTGAGAGATCTGGGACTGCTTAGCCTGCAGAACAGAAGGCTCAGGGGGATGTGTACAAGTATCTGAAAGGAGGATGTTAAGGAAATGAAGTCAGACACTTTCAGTGGTCCCCAGTGACAGGACAAGAGGCAATGAGCCTGATATCAGCAGTCATCTTTGTTAAAAAGTTGATCTTCCTCATTTCGAAAAGTAGTCTCTTTTATCAAGGCCTTCATGGTTTGGATGAACCAGAAAAGAAGAAGTATAGGTACCTAATGTTGAATTTGCTACTGTTTAAAGAAGTGTACTTCATTAAAGGCTTTTGCTTTACAAGTCCAGCCTTAAATTTGCATGTTTCTATGATACAATGAGATCTAGAAAATTAGGAGCTCATGGGAAAGAGTATGTTTGATTAAAGTTTTTCTGATGTTTGCCTCTACACTCTCTGCTCTAGTGTCCAAGGCAGACTGCTACGTGGAACTAAAGCTGCCCACTGCATCTCCCATAGTCTCCCGAACTCAGGTTGTTGACAACTCTGATAACCCAGAATGGAATGAAACTTTCCAGTATCGAATCCATAGTGCTGTCAAGGTAAGGAGTGCGCTTTGTGGAGCTGGCTGGGCTGTCTGCATTTGTGTACTGGCTTACTTTTGATACTTCATTCAAAACCAAGGGATCTTTATTACCCTCAAAACCAGTGTTGCTTGTAAGGTGTCAGTCATCTTAAAGTGGTACAAAAAACTGTACCATGCATGTCCAGTGATAACCACAGCAGTTTGTAACTGCACTCTTGTGTAAATTGCAGCTAGAATTTTCCATAAATGTCCTTGTGATGCAACTCAGGAAAGGGAAGTCATGGCACTACGTGGTAGAGTTCAAGGAAATTCCTTGCTAAAGCAGGTTTCTATTTGAGGATTGCTTCTACTTTCACAGAGTAGCAGTTGCCTTCTTGTAGCTCTACTTGCTTTACACAGCCAAGTGGCTGAGTGACAATAATGGGAACTAAATTTCAAATCACTTTGCCACTTAGTTCATTCAGTCAAGTTCCTGTGATTGAGAAAAGCAAAATTCAAACTTTTAGAGACAGTACATCTGTCTGCTGTCTGAGCATGACCTAATAGAGTATTGAAAAACTCTTCAGATTGCCAGCATTCATTCTCAAAGTAGACATTAATGGTAGAGGGAAGGAAACTGTACTTTAAAAGGCTAGTGTTAGTATGGTACTATTGCTTTAAATAACATCCTAGGCTTTGGAATAACGTGCTTATTAACTATCCCACTCACTGGAGTACCTTCCCATAATGGTTGGTAACAAAGGTGGAATGGTAATTGACTTAAATGGTAAGAAAAAGCTCACACACTCTGAAGCTTAGTTTGCAGTTTTCTTCCCCTGCAGTCTCACAAGGTCTCTGTGTGGTTACTGTTGTGAGGCTACACCTGCACAATTCTAAGTTCAGTCTTGTCTCCTTGAAAACTAGTTGCTGCAGGGCCACTTTTTGGGTGCTATATGTACTCATTGTATCTATTTCAATTAGTTTCTGCTGGACTTGCCTGCTCTGAGACAGTGCTGAGCAGGAAGTGATAGGTCCCTATAACATCCTGGACTGAATCATGCTGAAAGAGTGGAAATTGCTGTTGCTTCCTCAGGCAAATCTGTGCCTGAAGCTCGTGGAGAGTACTGCCACATGCATTTGCTTGGGGCCGCTCTCTAGTTGGGAAGATCAGAAAATCTTTTAGCTAAACACTATCAACTAGGAGCTTTTTTAAACTATGCTGTAAGTCCTGCTGGAAATAGCGAATTCTCTTCAGGAGTGGGAAAGGGGAAGGGTATTGATTAATGCATAAAGTGTCTATTGGATACAGGTACTCAGGTTTATGGAAGTGTTTCTGTCTCTTCATCTCTGAGGCTGTTTGTTTCTGTTTGGTTTTAGAACATTCTGGAACTGACACTCTATGATAAGGATGTCCTTGTCAGTGATGAGCTCACGTCTATCGTCTTTGATGTAGGGGGCATGAAGCTGGGTCAGCCCTTGCTGCGCACTTTCAGGTTGAACCCTGAGGTTAGTCCCTGGCTTCCTTCCAGGTCAACTGTGAATAGCTGCATCTCATCATTACAGAAATCCGGCAGTACATGCTAGTTGATTTATCTGTATGTAGAAGCCAGAAAGGGAAAATGTGTCAGCAGGTGACAGCAGCATATATGGTTTTACTATCATCTGAGATGTTTTTAAAATTCCTAGTGATTTTATTTTTGTGTGTGTGTGTGTGTTCCACAGTCTTTCATGCCTAACTAAATGAAACTTGGGATGACTGCTTTCTTTCAGAAGATGTTAAAACACCTTTAAAGGGAACTGAATTTTCAGGAGACTAGAGGGGGCTTAAAGTGAGCTTAAAATTAAAGGCATTTGCAGTCAGCAATCATTGTGGGGACTGCAGACTGCCTAGTTGATCATCATCAGTTCGCAGTGAAGAAGTTTATTGCTGCAAAGGTTACCTCCATATTTAATAAGTCAAAAGCCTAAGAAAAGGCTATTTTCCCTGAGTTATGTTCAGTTACATTTAACCTCTGCTTCATGTGGGTGCCATGGGTGCATATTAGCTGCTCTCATTCCTTGTGCACCTGTTTATGGACTTGCAACAAGACAGCTTGTTTTACGTAGCTAAAGCCACATCACGAGTCTGATCTTTTTTGTAACTGCTTCAAACACATTGCTGCAATAGGTCTGGATTAAAGCTGAGCTAATGATGTGTCTTGAGAAATTTGGCTTCAGTGCTGTTAGTCAGTGCTGGTATAGTCAGAAGCAGACTAACTGGTATGCAGTTAGCAGGGAGGTGTTGGTCAGTGTCACAGGCACTCTAAATTATTTGTGATCATGGAAAGAGGCTTTGTAACTTCCTTGTCCCCACTAACTCTGTCCCATTTGCTGAATGCGTAAGTCATCTTGAGCAGTATTTGTGGAACTGGAAACTTCAACTTCAGTAAAGAGAATTACATAGATTGGCTTCTACTTGGTTATTTTAAAAGCTCCGTTAGGTCTGATGTCAAGCATTTACAGTATGCTGTGGTAGGGGGAAAGATGGCTGGATCAATGTCTCTCAAAGACAAAGGCAGCAATGAGTTAAGAGTACAGTCTGCTGAAATAATAAATGGGAGGAAGCACAAAGCCTCATGTAGAAGCTGTTTGCAGAGATGGCACTGCAGTGGTATTTGAGCCAGAAGAGTTGTGTGTGGGGGTTTTTTTGTTTGTTTTTGTTTTCATTAGCAGGGTAGTGGATCTGAGAGCCAACTCGCACTTGTGTGCACTTGTGTCCTCAAATATAGATGTGCCTGGTCATATAGGATATGTCCAGGAGGAGAGGAATATTTAAAGAACAACAACAACAAAAGGCATAAATTTAAACTTTCCAAAATTTAACTGGAGCTTTTGTAAAAGCAACAAAAATAGTTATTGTAGTTTGTAACAGGAAGAACGCTTAATCTCTTGGAAAAACTTCTCATAATAATATTCAAGATCAAGGGTCACGTGTGTCCAACTTTTATTTTCAAAGGCTAATGAAGAGCTGGACGTAGAGTTTTACTTGGAGAAATGGTGAGTCTTACCTGAAGAGCTGAATGAACTTGTGCTCTGCAGATATGTTGTCTTAGTTGTTTTTTCTGTGCAGGGACAGTCTTGCCCATAAAAAGGCTAATGCTGTACAGTTCTCTGTGGTGTTCAAGTTGATTCACCAATGGCTGATCACAAATATACTTAAAGCTCAAGTCACCAAAACTTTTAGGGTACCAAAAAAGAAATAAAATTTTGCTGGACTTCATGGGAATGGCAGCGCTGCAAAAGAAATGAATATTTTGTGGATGAGTTAACTTAGGACTGGAAAGCTTTCACAGTTAACCTTGCAATATAAACAAAGGGATACTTTATCTGATAGTCTATCTAAGCTCAGCTTTTCTCTAGGTTATCAAAATAACTGAGATGGGGAGGCCTTATAGCACATGCTTATAGTTGCAGACAAATTTTTTCTTCAGTATTTTTCCCCCCATTGTTCTGTGAAGGGAAATATACCTGGTGTCAGTCTAGTTTGCATAGATCTCTCACACCAAGGACCTTTCTCCCCCACCACTTATCCAGGCAGTTAGTTTATAAAGTAGGATGAAGCAAATTAAAAACAAAACTCATTTGCATGAAATCTTTTCCTTTCACAGCTCAGATGCCCCTACAGAGGTCTTGACTAATGGAGTCCTTGTGGTGAGTACATGGAAGTCAATTACATATATGTTGGGATTTACTCCTGAAAGGTAGGTTTTTAGCAGCAAGAGGACAAGAGTTGTTGAGAATTCCAATCCTGCTTCCAAATAGCTCTTACTCTCTCTGCATCTGCCCCTTTTTTTTAATTTGCTGGTTTAAAAAGCTTTGTCAATTTTTAAAACTTGATACCAACTCACAGAAAAGGTTGGGGGTTTTTTTGGGGGGGGGGGGGGGGGGAGTGTTGGTTTTTTTTCCAGTAGGGCTGTTTTAAAAAGTATAAGCAAGAAATGTCTTTAGGAGGCTAGTGCGTCTTGCAGATTGTATTGAGGTTTCTAGCCTAGATGCTGGCCAGGTACAGTTCCCCTTGTTATCTTAACATGTATTATTTCTAAGCTTTTATCAGTGCCATTAGTAAGTAGGTGATGCCTCCTGTTCTCAGACTCAAGAGTTTTGGTCTTGAGGGATTTGTCTGTTCTCTTGGGGCAATCAGTCTAAGAAAATCAGTGCATTATACATTAAAAATACAGGTGTTACCACCCCTTTTCTGCACTCAAACTAAAGGGACTGGAGCGATGTTTTTAATAAGGAGAAAAGGATGGGAAAGAGTTCATCATTGTCAAAATGCAGAGTTTTAACATTTTTTCAGGAAAAATTGGTGGCATTTAACAGCCTAGTTCTGCAAACTATTTCACATGAGAGTCTTTTGTGTTCCCATTTCCCATAGCAAATCAGTCTTACGTTCAAGCAGTGGAGTAGTATCTTATCTTTTAGAGTAATTATGGCCAATTAAGTATCTCATCTGCTACCCTAGAAGGGAAGCTGGCGACTGAATGGCATGAGACACTAAATTTCAAGAGGACATAGACAATCCAGGACAGAAAGTCATGGCAGAATTTATGAAGTGCTTGCCTGGATCTGAACAAGTTCTGAATAGGTACTCACACATGCATTAAAAAAAAGGTAAAACAACAGAAAAAAAACAGGTGTTGAGAACTTGTTACTATGAAGTACCAGTTGCAAAAAAACCCAGTAATTGGACTAGAAAGAGTGGTTTTGATTTTTGAAACAAGCAAATAATCCCATCCTGCTGAAATAAAACTTGCTTTTTATTTGAAAGATCAAAATAATCCATAATGTTTTTTTGACAGCTTGCAGCTGTAAACCTATACCTAGTATAGTAGGTGGATTAAGCTTCAATAAAGAAGTGAACTAAAATCTCATAACCAGAGGTGGTTTCTTTTCTTCATAGGTTCATCCTTGCTTGTCTCTGCAAGGCACTGTCAACAAAGAGGAAAAAACAGGAGACAGCCAGCAAGGTAGGGCTGCCTGCAGAGTTGAAGTCAGATCTACTTTTCAGCATGTTTATTCCCTGGGAGAGGGGGAAGACTTGATTCTCTGTCTATACAGTGCATTTTTATTTACTGACTTAAAAATTGTCTTTTTAAGTTAATTTTGCTTTTATTTTTAATGCTAAACAGTATTGGGTCACATCCACTGGTACCACACAAGAGAGTTTTTGCTTGTGTTTTCATAGTCTCAGCTACACTTAACAAGTATCTGATTTTGAACATTTATTTAAATGGCTCCTGTGGTCTAAACTTCTTATTCTAATGCACAGGGAGCTGTGAGGTCAAGGTGTCTGTTCCAGGGGCATATCAGAAGCAGTTGTGTATTCCCTGGAGGCCAGGCAATGAGAAGGATTATGGAACCTCATTTGTCTTTCATGTGGATAAAGAAATGTGTCCAGAACTGCAAGTGGAGCTGGAGCAAACCATATCTGTCCTACAGGTAAGCATCTGTGCTGACTGCTACAAAGTTTACAGACTACTTTTGAATAAATACACTCTGAAACCAGTACCTTTTGGTCCATGAAAGTGTCCTTAAACATAAATTGAACAGCCTTAATTTGATCATGAGAAGGTCAGGGACTTCTTTAGATGTTTAGGGATGTCAGGTTTGGGTATATTATTCAGCTACCCGTGGATGTCAAAAGCTTGCATTGGAAGCAAGTTTCTTGGGGAGTACTATATGTATGTGGTGCTAGCAACCATCTATTATGAAGGATACTAATCACTTCCAGATACACCTTTTTGATCAAACTTAACTCTGTAATGTTGTAATTGCTCAGATCAAAATTTTGTAGGCTAGAAGCTTGTCTTGAATGGATGTATTATTTTTCTGGTTATGTATTAGGAATTTATGAGCAAAGAGATAAGTTTTTCTCTATCATTGCTTTTTACACACTACTATTTTTTATTTTAAAAATTGAATAAAAAATGTCAGACTTTGCATTGGATCTTTGACATTGGGTAAGGAGGTGAACTTGTCTTAGAAGTATATCCTTCCCAACACTTTAAAATCTGTTCAAACTTGGGGATTAAAAAAATCTGAATCTGCACATGCTTGCTACATGAAGACATCTTTGCTTTCAGCTGTTGAGATACTCTATAGTAAGTCTTTTCTGTCAGAAACTTGTAGAGCACTTGCCACTTGCAAGGGTTTATTTAGCTTTGTCTATCACTTCACAGTTTCTACAGGTACCCATGCAGTGTGTGTATCCCATAGGAGTGACTGAATGTTCATTGTGGTGACTGCTCCCAGTATGGCCTGACACTAAAAATGAGAGCAAGGAAACTATTTATTCTGTGATGTTATTCATCCTCACAAGCAGTTGGGCAGCATGAATGCAGATGGTGATCTTTACTCTAGAGGCAGCTACGGAGAAGAGAACACAAAAAAGAATATGGAAGAATAGCTTTGCAGTAGAGTTGGTTGGGCAGCAAATGTGAAATGAAGAGAGAGACCTGGACTTAATTAGTCAAAAACTCAGAGGCAGGCAAGCAAAAACACAGTAGAAGTCAACCATGGAGATTAGCCCAGGTGGTAAACCTCAACCAAACCACCCCTGGTATCTAGCAGAACATACTCCTTCAAGAGCTGGCCTAGAGCGCATAGCTATCCAGTATGACCTTTCCTCTCTTATCAGAGGTAGGAGAGTGCCAGGAATATAGTAATGTTGCTTGCCCTGTACCTAAATGCATGTTATTTGCTCCTGTTAGGAGGAGGACAGTGGGCTTAGAGGGACATTTGACTCAGGACAGCTGTTTTTGGTCAGAAGACATCTGTGAAATCTGTGGGTAGTTCCTTGTCTGTCTTCAGTTCTTGTTGTGAGAAGGGTGACAACATATTGTTTCTTTAAGCTGCTGTCTCCTCCCAAGGGTTGAGGCCTGCAGTGTGTGTAAAGGCTCCAGCCCACCTGGTAGGCTGTGTAGGTTTGAGTGTGGCCCTGTGATAAAAAGGGTTTTTTTAATATGCCTCTTTTAAATTTAGGAATCTGCAGAAAGCTCTGTGTTAAGAGAGCTTGCCACTTGCTAATACAACATGGGAGAAAACTCAAAGGTTTCCTGGCAAACTTTAATTTGTTCTGCTTGTAAAGATAATTATGGTTTTTTAATTGCATGCTCCCATTTGTTCCTAAGGCTATTATCTTATTTCCTATTTAGTGGTATTTTTTCTGTATGTCTAACACTGTTGCCTTGTTGGTTTTCCAAATCCTGATATGAAGACAGAATGCAAGCTCACTTGTGAGCTTTCTGACACATGTCGGAACACAATGATTTTGGGAGGAAATTTTCTATTTGGAGGTAAAGATTTTTTCCTTGTGGCAGACAGCTATATTTAAAAAAACAAACCCAAACAACCCAACCCAAAACCAAACAACCAAAAAAAAAAGAAGCTATTTGAGTGACACAAAAAATCCCAGCAAAGATCTGTCAAGCAGAGCGCAGGATGATCTTGAAAAGCCCTAGACTTTTGGGAAAGATTTAGTTATAATGATCATATGGATTGTTTGCTGTTTTGACATATGAAAGTAATATCTAACTTTTTTCTGGAGAGCTCAAAAAACATTTTGTTCTTTATTAGGATGGTATGAACCCTCATATTGAAAAGCATACTACAGTTATGGGATTGGGGACTGTACCAGTGAATTCCCTTCCTATTGGACAAAAGGTTGATAGAATCGTTTCTCTGGGAGAGGTAATGTCAACATTTTGCACTTGTTTTAACATGCTTGGGATAACTTTTTCCCCATTGCCTATAGACATTTGGAAAGTTAAGCTGCACATGATTCTTAGGAGTGCCATTTTCTTGGCTATCTAGAATGAAATACTGAGATTACTCAGTGCAATTCTTCTAAAAATGTTTTCATGGCTGCATCTTGAAAAATAAGTATAAAGTTCATCACTTTCCAAAGCAAAAAGTCTGTTAGGGTATGAATGAAAAATACCAGAGGAGGCAAAAAGCAAGAAGCTTGCAGAAGAAATAATTTTCTTCACCCTGCTCTCTGAGTAAATGTTTTTACTTTCTGTGGAGGCTATTGAAAATGTCTAAAATAGGTGCAAAGGAAAGGTGTTCCAGAGATGTAGTTTAGTGGGTGAATGTGCTTTTCTGGTTAGTATCTAGTGATGCTGTTGATGTCATAACCTCTAGTTAGTAGTTCCGCCTATGTAATTGCTACCAATTGCAAGATGTGTTCTCTCCTTTCACAGGGACAAAGTTTGGATATGAGTTTGAAAACTCAAGAGAGGTGAGTAGGAGCCTCCAAGACCTCTAAAAATCAGGAAAGGCCTTTATTCTCATAGTGAAGGAACTGAGTGACTCTCCCTGCTGTTCTGGGGAGTTTTCTGTTCTGTCTGTTGTCTCCATTGATCTCTTGGGATACATTAGAGAAAAATACCTGGTTGTTTTTCTTCTGAAGGCTGTGACTCGTGACTTTGCAGATACTGTCTATTGGATTGGTGTCAGTCCTGCTGAAATCTGAACAAATTTTGTGTTCCTAATACTTAAACATAAAATAGCTGGTGGTGTAAATATTAATCGGCTTTCTTAGATACACGTAGTTTCCAAAATATGTGCAGTGCTGTACTGACAAATAGGAAAGGACATCTCAGTGTGTGAAGAGCTTGAACTATAAAATAGATGAAGGGTGCAAGAAAGAAGAGATAAGGAAAGAATAACACACAAAACTGAGCAGTTGGCTAGTAAGTTGGTAGGGTCATTGGGTGTATAGTAATTAACTGAAGATCCTGCTCCCCTTTCACAAACTCATGGCAAGTTTATTGGCATTCAGTTGTCCCCTTCTGCCTCTTAAGTTTAGAAATTTCTCTTTTAAAATCGTTCTTCCCCTCATTTCTCTATCCATGTCAATACAGTGATCTCAGTTGTTCCTCATACAATCTTCTTTACCTACTGAGAATCTTTTCTTTCTTTGTGAAATTCCTGAAGCTTAATCTGAATACTGTTTGACACAACCTTTGTATTTATACATTAAGGAAGAAATACAATAGGGAGAAGTTTCATTTTTACTTCCAAAAGCTGCTGTTACAAAATAGCTGGTGTATAGACATACACTAAAACTTCATTTAGGAGTTTGATCCAGTGATTCAGTTCAGCACCTAGACTGTGTATTCACAGAAACTGATTTTGCCTGGTAATTACAAATCCTTGATGATTTTGGTTATTTTTGTTTTAATTTCTACTTAAGCACTTGGGATCTTGACATACGTCTGGGTTTTGACCTCTGTAAAGAGGAGAGAGAATTTTTGGACAAAAGGAAGAAAATAGTTTCAGAGACACTGAGGAAGACTCTTCACTTAAAAGAATCCCCTCCAAAAGATGAGGTATGGAGCACAGTGCTGTAATGAGATATGTAAAATCCTTTGTGCTTGGTTGATAATTAGGTATTGTAGGATTCTTTGCCTGTAATCAACAGAAACCATGGTTTGCATTCACCATGGTGTGAGGTAGATCCCTGTGACATTTCAGTTCTGAAGTCTCAAATGTTGTTATATTTCTAAAATTTTGAGGGATATGTGTGTGTTTTGGAACACAAAAAATTGAAATTTCAGAATGTATGTACCTTCTTTAGTTGAACTCTTGTTTCTTGGCCTTTGAGCTCTGAATTGTGATGGGAAAGTCTGTTTCAGAATGGTTAAACTGAAGCTCAGATCACAGGAACAGCTTCCTAATTGCTGATTTGAGAACACTGTTATAGCTAGGTAGCCTGATACCTTGCTTTGTGATCTTTGGGTGCTGTTATAAGAATTATTGCCCTTTTATTGTTCTTATGTTTATATTGTATGGCATGCAAGTAAATGTGTGATAATATACATAACAATTTCAGTAAGTGGCTGTCCCTAAGATAACACTGCTATGTTTTATAGTAAACAATATATTTCAATTACAAAGTAGTGAAAGGAGTTCTGGTTGAAATCAAACCTGAAATTACTTGAAATGTAAATAGAAATAGAGATTTTATCTCTTCTTGTTATAAGAATGAGACTGAAATGGGATTAGTTCTGTAATTTACTGGCAATTCAAAAGTCTGTGATTGTGACTGAGTTTGCTGCCTGCAGGTTCCAGTTGTAGCAGTACTGGGGTCTGGAGGTGGGATGAGAGCACTGACTTCGTTCTATGGCAGTCTTGCTGGGCTTCAGCAGCTGGGCCTTTTGGATGCTGCAATATATCTGTGTGGAATTTCTGGATCTACTTGGTAAGTTACATGCAGTGTTGATTCCAGAAACTTACAGGTGAATATGGTAGCGTTGATGCAAAATAAGGCCAAAATTGCATTTGTGCCATCTAGACGGACAACGAGGTCAAATATTTTATCAGTTCTCACCTGTGAGTTCTGATGGGGATCCTAAAGAGTCCAAGAGATCCATTATACTTCTAACCCATACAGCTACTGGCTAAATTTATGAATCTGCTGCTTTTGCAAGCCTGGCAGTTGAATATTAGAACGTACTACGTGAATAAAACTGCTGTGTGTTCCCTCAGAGCCTTGACTTCAAAAACTTTCCCCATTTCCTTGCTCTTGCCAAGAAGATAACCGAGGTGGTGCAAGTCACTGGAAACATGTCCACATGGACCACTGTGCCAACACATTCCAAAATGCTGTATGCAGCTGAATAGAAGGATAGCACCAGCTTGCTCTTTGGTGGACTGGAGCAATGTGCTGAAATGTTAGACATGGCTAGAATGTTTCAGTAGTTCAGTGCTTGGAGTTTGTGGTGAAGTCATCCCTCATAATTACACATTGTTTTCATGAAATGATTTCACTGAGGACTTGTGCAACCTGACAGTATAATCCTCCCTTCCAGAGCTTTATGTGTTAAATTAACTCCTATGTATCTAGTTCTTCCACTGACCTTGTGATCTGGCGTGCCCCTTTTGATTCAGAAACAGACTTTCAAACAAATGTAGGCATCTGTTCACGTGGATAGCCAATAGGCCAAACCAGTTTCTCATTTAATTAGACCTGTGTTCTGATGAAGGCTATGGCCTCTATTGCTGTATTCAGTAGCACCCTTGCTGTCAGCCAGTCTCTCAGGGTTGTTATGGCCTGGAGTTAACTCATCTTTTTGAACGGGTTCATGTGTGCTAGCATATGATACTTGAAACATCCTTGAAAGGTAGGTTAGCAATCAGGATGAAGTTGTCCTGTAGGTGTCAGGGTTTTCAGCATGTTTCAGAGTTCAGAAATCCATTATTATGGTCTCTCTTCTCTTCACGATGTTTTGTCTTTTAGCTAGACTTCTCAAGCTTTTAGTTTGGTGCTGCAGCACTAATTATAACTAGCTAAAATTGTTTATACAAGGGTCATTATTACTGATGACATTAATATAAGCATTTTCAGGTGTTTATCGACATTATATCAAGACCCTGACTGGTCACAGAAAGACCTTCAAGATGCAATCAGAAGAGCTCAGGGTACTGTGTCCAGCAGCAAAGCAGGGGCATTTTCCCCAGAACGACTGAAATACTATTTCCAGGAGCTGAATGCAATGGAGATTAGTGGACGGAAAGTTTCCTTTACAGATTTGTGGGGCCTTATTGTGGAATATTTCCTACAACAGAAGGTAAAAGAGTTCACGTTTGGAAGTGTATTGCTGTTTGTCTTCCAGGTGGGAGCTCTGCCCACCCACATGTTGTGTGTCAAGAAACCAATTACTCTCTACCTTTGTGAACTGTTCTGGAATAGGTGGTGTGGAATAAACATAGGGAGTTCTCATCTCTTTCTGTCCTGGGGTTCCCAGCACCCTTCTTTAGTAAAGAATTATGAAGTCGTATAGATCAGTCTTATAGAAAAATGTAGTGTTTATTTGGAATGACTGTTACTAAATTAATAGTTTCTTTACTGGGCAGGTTAAGCCTGAGAGAATGATGTTGGTTTTGCAAAATGGCATTACTGTGCAGTATTTACTATGCTAATCGAAGTCAGAAATCAGAGGGGTAACTAGTTTATTAATAATACCAGACGTTCTAAATATGCAACTGCATAAATATTCTGGCAAAATCTAACCATATGCATGGACAGAGGGAGGAAAAGGGACTTTGAATCAGTAGCACTATTAGTCAGAAATGCTAAGCAACAGCTTCAAACTATCGAAGTATGGACACAGAACTTACCTGACTAAAGTGTGCTTTTCCTTCCTTGCTTGTAACCAGGAAGATCCATCAAAGCTGTCTGATCAGCAAGAAGCAGTGAAATGGGCCCAGAACCCCTATCCTATCTATGCAGCTGTCAATGTGAGACCCAATATTAGCAGTGGTGACTTTGCAGGTATGAACATGGCAAACTTATTTTTGTTTGCTAAAATTCATAAATTCCTTTCACCTATCCAGTTCCTTGGGTAGTGAGTGGCTGCCAACAGGAAACCTGGCTCAAGCAGCAGTTGGTAGTGCAACAGGCAATAGGATACTGCTTGGCAGAATGCTATCCTGATCGCAAATGTCTTCATCATGGTTGTAACAGAGAAATGAAGTTCAACTCTGCTGGCCACTCTGCGTGTTTTTCTAGAAAATGCTTGAAATTTTCAGGAACTGAGAGGGAAGATTCTTACAATACATGAGTCTGTGCCTGATCAGAGGATTGGAGTCCTTGGTAATTAGGTGACCTACTTTCTTTTATAGTCTCAGATAATCAATTTGTGTAGGATTCACGTAAAATGATGGGTTGGCAACCTTGTAGCATGCATCATCAAAATTGTGGTTTTTAGCAGCCTGGGTTCTTGCTGGTTATACAATTACAGTAAAAAAAAATGAAGGCCGGTCCTATTCCAAGTCACTTGAAACTTTAAATATGATGCAATAAGTGAGGGTAGATACAGTGAGACAGGAACAGAAACGCTTGTGTACCATCTGTGTACCACTATGGGACTTTTGTTTGTTTTGCTCTGGACAAGTGTGCGTGTATGACAGTGAATTTGATTTGTAAATATTTGTGGAAAGCTTTCAAGCATGAGGGGACACTTTGATAAGCAGACAGTGAAGTCTGACACAGTGGGTCAATTGAGTTTTCAAGTCAGTACTGTAGTAGTTGCTGAGAGATGGTAAGTAGCATGAAGAAAGGCTGAGAAAAGTGAATTAGCTTCCATTTGTGATGGAAAAGGGAGCCATCAGAATGGTTTAAAGTGGCAGTAAAATAGGCAGGTTATTTCTGCAGTAACAAAGTCAAGATAGAGCAAGATGGGATTTTAATTTTTTTTTTTTTTTTTCCAAAAGGCAGGAAGAAAGGAGGTTGTATTTAGTCAATGAAAACCTGTAGAAGAGTTTTTATTAATCATGTGTAAGATAGAGAATCACTGAGAAGAGTGGCAGGGAAATCCATAGTGAAGGTGAAAAGCAGAGGGAGACTCCCTTCTGTCTCCCTTGTGTGAACAGAAATCAAATGGGCATTTTCACCTACGTTTACTCTGAGATTAATAAATATCCTGTTGGCTTGTTCTTAGAATGGTGTGAGTTCACTCCCTATGAAGTTGGATTTCGCAAATATGGAGCTTTTGTCCGAACAGAGAACTTTGACAGTGAGTTCTTCATGGGACGGCTTGTCCAGAAACGTCCAGAGCCTAGGATTTGTTTTCTACAAGGTATGATCTTACAGTAATGAATAAAATGGGGAGATGGAAAGGAGCTACGCTGCTTTTGGGGCTCATCAACATAAACCCATGCCCTTTTGTTCCTTCCTAAAGAATTTGAAGAAGGGAAAAATGTAAAATCTTTCTCCAAAGGTTTAGGTGTATGTTCATAGTATTAGTCTGGTGTCCTGAGTCTGCAAGAAGACTCTTTTTATGAGCTGCCCGTCAAAAATTTCTGCTTTAGGTCTTCCCATTCTCTTGCCATCTTTCCCTTGCTGATAGAAGAGATTTTCTCTTGGAGAAGTTTCTGCATTGTATTATTACATCAGAATTTGTCACATGATTAACTCAAAGGTTTAAACTCAAACATTACCTGTTAGAATAGTAGGGGTCAAGTGACAGCCCTCTCCCATGACGAATGGCAGCTGAATTATAGGCCTTTTGGTTACACTGTGAAAAGCCTTTTGAGTATTAAATTCTTTTATGTTTCTCCTGCAGGAATGTGGGGCAGTGCCTTTGCTGCAAGCTTGGATGATATCTGCCTGAAGGTGGTTGGTATAGGACTGGGCTTTCTAGATTCTTTCAAAGATGTTATCAAAGTTGTAGGTAAGAACATGCATTAAAATAATAGGATTTTTCAAAAGATTCCTGTTTTTGGAATGATCATACAAATAGTATGACTCAAAAATGTGCTATATTTTCAAAATCAGCATAAAGGATGGATTTGGACAGATCTCTCTTGTACTGTATTATTCCCTTCCATCACACATATAGTGAAGAAAGCAATTTTAGTTTTCCAGTACACTTTCTCTTCCTTTTTAAAATTTTGTATCTGACTTTTGACTATAAATTTGGGCTAGTTCTGGGAGCTGTCTTAAACACATATTGCAAGTGCAGGGTTTGTAGTCATGAGAAGAGGAAGAACAGAAACTGGAGTGCTAAGTAGGAGGATGGAAAACAGGTTTTCAAATCCCTCCTTGGCCTGATTTTTGTAACCTTGGATAAGCTGGTTCTATGTTTACGCATTGTTCTCCATTTGTACAATGCCTCCCTAGCAGTGAAAAGGAAGTGTATTAAAGGCTGAGAGTTACTCAGGTGCATAGTTACAGCCTTATAGTAAGTAGTAGGGGGAGATATTTTTTTCTTCTCTGCTTTTGCAGCCCCAGTTTTTCCACCCATGCTTTTGTTGTTGTAACTATAAATGCTCCTGTGTGCGCGTGACCGTTGTTGTTTTATAAGATGGAAGTTGTCATCACTTGGTAACAAGGATTTCTTTGTGTGGGTTTGAAATGCATATGGACAATGATTTGTGAGTAATGCTAAACAGGGCAGGTAAATTATCCAGCTATAGAATATACAGCTCATTTAAATTTCATTACAATACTTTTTTTATTAGAGGACAAACTCAGCCTTAGGACAACTGGTTAAATATTGTAGAAGAAAAGTCTGATTGAAATGTTGGAGCTGGACAAGCGTTTTCTGTGTGTTCTGCATCCTTCTGTGGCTTCTGCAGATGACTGCCGAAGATTCCATTTCCGAGATCCAACACGGCTGAAGACTCGCTTGGTTATACCTGGGGGCCCCTTGTTACAAATTTTTCAGGATTTCTTCAAGTCCCGGGTCACATGTGGAGAAACCTTCAACTTCATGCGGGGATTGTATCTTCATAAAGATTATGTTAACATCAAGAAATTTGTGGCTTGGAGAGGTAAATGAGTCTATATGTATCTGGGGTGTAAAATAGCATGTTAATGTTCTGTAACAGTCAATGTTACAGAACAGAAGTGAGCTTGACTTTGTTCCACTGAAGTCAGGGAATTTACCCCTTCTTACACTGTAGCAAAAAATTTGGTCCGCTATGTGTGTTGTGGCATATAAGGCAACCTCATCATCAGACTTTACAGGTCAGTCTCAGATGAATGTGCATGTTGGAATGTCTTTTTTCTTCTTATAGCCCTAGCATAAGCTTTGTTTGCTGCTTGTTACTGAGAGGTGTGTAATGATTCGTTATAGTTACTTGTGTTACTTGGAGTGTCTTCTAGGCACTCATCTGGATGCATTTCCCAACCAGCTGACCCCCATGGAAGAAAGCTTGTATTTAGTGGATGGTGGCTTTTCTATCAACTCTCCCTTTCCTTCGGTACTTCAGCCAGAGAGGGATGTGGATGTTATCTTGTCATTCAATTTTTCCTGGGAAGCTCCATTTGAGGTGAGAGATGTAGCTGAGCATTATTACATGAAGATAAAAGCACAGAATCATATTCACAACAGCAGCAGATCAGTTGATGTTGAATACAAACACTAATGAAAGAATGCATTAAAATAAATCCTTACCTTTTTCAAATATTATTGTACTATTTTTTTTACTGTGAATGTCATGAGGAGATGGAAAGTGACAACTGTAATAAGATTCAAAACTTTTCAGAAGCCTGAATAGATTGTTATCTAAAATAAGAGTATTTGCTTGGCTCATATGATCCTTGTTACTTAGATGTATGCTTCTAATGGAAGAGTGGCTATTGGTGATTTTCTTCATGAAAACAAGTTATTTCCTTTCTATACAAGTGTTTATATTTAAGTGCAGAAAAGTCAAAGTGAATATATTTAGAGTAACAAAACATAAAAAGTCACAGCTGCAAACTGTTGATGTTTGGTAGCAGTTCTCAGTTCTGCTCTTCAGTCTTCTTCTGTATCACCAGCCAGAAAAATTGTTTCTGCCAATTTGAAGTTGGATTTGTTGCCTTTTTTTTTTTTTTGTTGAAAGTCTATCGCCCTTTGAGAATTGTAGTTAGATGATCTTAGAGGTGTTGCTGATACTCTATTGAAATTATTTTTGTTCTTTGACAACAGGTTTTAGAGCTCACTCAGAAATACTGTGAGGAGCGGGAAATTCCTTTTCCAAAAATCAAATTGAGTGAGGAAGATGAAAAGAAGCCAAAAGAGTGTTACCTGTTTGTGGATGATGATAATCCAAAGGCTCCAGTTGTGCTCCATTTCCCATTGGTGAATGACACCTTCCAGAAATACAAAGCTCCAGGTAAAGGAGCTGTATCTTAAAGAGCTATTTTTACAATCATTTGGGTGTGTTGATGGGGAAAATTCAGTGGGCTCAGTGTCCCTCCTTTCATTCTTCTTAGTATTACCCTGTATTTATTAAATTGTTACTTTCATTTAAGGTGGAATTAGCTTCCACTAGTTTTTTGGAAGGGAGAGTGGGAGAAGAGGCTGACAATTAAAAAAAACAAAAAACCAAAACAATCTAAAGGCTGAAAGAATCAAAATTAGGCAATATTTTTGCTGCTTCTTTCTGAACCTTTCTGCCCTGATACCTGATTTTGTTACTTTTAGTTACTCTGAATATACACGAAAGCACTACAAATCGGATTAAATAAGTTCATTTCTTTATTGGATATGAATAAACCACTAAGCAGCAAAGTGTTGGGGACCAATCCATATGTCAGATCATGTAACTCAATGTTAAGTGGCCTGTGCCCTTGTAGTGTAAGGCCAAGTGATAAATGATCGTTGCTTCATTTAATGTGATCTGTATAGACAGTAAGGCCCACCTCAGTCTATCCAGTAAGAGTACTGGAATGAAAGATAGAGCTATACCTTTAAGAAGAGACAGACAAAATTCAATGTCCTATTTCTCCCATGCTGGGAGGAAACAGCATCCTGAAGAAAACCTTTGGAATACATAGAAATGAATGTGCAGGACTGATGCAGGCAAGGGAAATGTAAAGGACTCTGTTAATGCTATCTATATTAATACTATAATATTTGCCAGGCCCTGGCTGCATTTACTCATCAACGATGAAGAGTTTCAAAGTATTGGGCTTGAATATGGCTCAAGACTACTATTTCTAGAATAGCAACAAGCAAAAGTGTTTTTAGCAAATTACTTTAACGTTCATCTTTCAAGATTGGTATTTATAAATTTAAGTGACAGGGTGCTAAAAACACGAGTTACCATATTTTGTATAGTATATACTACCCTCCTAAGGTCAGTTGAACTCAGGGTGTTAGTGTTTTTTATTTTAGTGTAGAACAGTACTTCCAGAAGAGTTGAGCTTTGCATTTCCTGTTTTGAGCATGATAATCATGGATGTACTAAACAATTTATCACAATGAAAATGTATTTTAGTCCTGTATTTTGGAGTCTAGTGGAAGTAGAAAGAGTAATAATACTGTACCTTCAGCTTCCAAGCATTTTGGATCCTGAAGGAGCTGAAATCTCTGAGGAGCAGCTTTGCGGAAAAAGTTAAGGTTCAACAGTTATCTGTGGTATCCTCCTTGCAGAATCCAACTAAAATGAGCCTACTACAGCTGCTTGTTTTGTGTGGTTTGGTTTTTTCTTTTGGCTTTTTTTTTTTCCTTGCTGCAGGAGTTAAACGTGAGTCAGAAGAAGAGAAATCCTTTGGTGACTTTGTCATTGAGTCGAAAGATTCTCCATACCGTACACTAAATTTCACCTTTGAGCCATACGATTTCATCAGATTGGTGGAAGTGAATCGCTACAATGTTCTGAACAGCAAGGACACTCTCTTCAAAACCCTAAACTTGGCTCTGCAAAGGAGAAAGTTGAAGAAAGTCATCAATATGTCCAATACATAAGCAGCTTCCATAGCTGAGGATACAGCCAGGCTGCAGTGTACAAAAGTCGTGTGGTTCAAGACAGAATACCAAAAACTAATAGCTGGAAACTGTCTTGTGAAGGGAGTAGCACATGTGACACTGAAAATCCAGATAACGGATGCTCTTAACAAAAACTCAAGGGATGTACAGTGCAACATGGATGTTGCTTTGTCATGTGGGGAAGAGTAGGGAATTATCTAGGCCAGTATCTCATCTTACAGTGGCTGATACCAGATGACTAGGGAGGTCTATTCAAACAGTTCAAGCACCTGGAGAATAATCTTCCAAACTCCTCTGAGTGAAGCACCTCTTTTTGTCAAAGGTCTGGCAGCGTTCAAGGAAACTCTGATTTCTCCTATACCTTTATCTCTCTTGCTTTTTGAACCTCCGTCCACGAACTTTCACAATTTACATCATCTGGCAAGGAACTCCACCAATTGTAACTATGCACGGAGAGAGGAAATGTCTCCTTTTGTTTTCAGTGTGCTACTGGCTGATGCCCATGTACTTTCAAGACTGAACAGTCATTATCTGCTTTCCATTTTTGCCATTCATCGTTTCAAAGATCTCTGTGATATTTGCTTCCTACCCTTCTCAAGGATTATAATGGCTTTTAGTCTCCCAGAAGTTCAATACAGAGTACCTTACTTTTGTAACCATTTGTTTCTGAGGAAATAATAGTTCCCTTTTTTATATTTAACAATTAAAGACACCTCATGGGATTGTGTTGCTTCTTCCTACAGTTTGATCATCACGAGCTGATGAAACTTTAAAAATGCTGCAAGTCTCATCTTTCTCTTTCTGTGTAAGAGGAAGGAAGGCTCCTTTGATGAGTCTGAATTACGTATTTTTTCCTTACACTTGGGTTTGCAATTCAGCCAGACCTTTGTTCAAGGAATTTCTGTGTGTGTCTATATATTTTAAAAACATGAACATTCAAGATAGGCACACCTTATGAATGTGAATGAATAAAATAATGTCAGATGCTGCTATGCTATGGGATGGAATTCACCTCAGTTTGCAGAAAGCTCAGAGAAAAGTACTGAATTACGCAGTTGGAAAATATGTGATACAAAAGGGTGGCAAACAAACACTGTTTACTTTTGTGGCTTTTACATTGAGCTGAATGTACTGATTCTGTGTCTGAAAACTGGAGCCAGGAAATTTTTCTTTTCTGAAATGATGTAAAGGCATATAAGTGGGTATGGTTCTTGATATGTTTTTAAATGTGTTTTAATAAACATTAGTTTTGCTAACGTGCTTTTCACAATTTTTCTTATGAACACTTGTCTTGATATATTTTTCCTTATTCCAATAAAAAGTAAGCAAAAAAGTCAATGTAGTACTATATTGTATAGTTCCTTTTATTACGTCAGGGTACCTGACAGCGGGAAGGTGACTTACTAAGTCAATCTCGGACTGGTGCTGCACTGCACTATAAAGTAATCTCTTCTCTTTGAGGAAGCGTGGCTCAAAACTGAGTTCTTTAGATGCATTTGAACCAGTGACTTCATCTGGGTGATTAAACTTCCTCGATATCTGGCAGGATGTATTCTTTATGTCCTTAGCACTTATTTACTTAAGCTGAAATAAGAGAAACAGTCAATGTTATAATTTTTCTTTATAACTGGTGCTGCATAGCTACCTGCTTTGTAGGATTTGGACATCTGTCATATTTGCTGAGTGACTTTTGTATATTTATCCATATAAGATTTCAAGCATTATTGTCTCAGCTGCCTTTCAGCCTGCCACCATGCCATGCCTTTGAATGTTTGTTTGCAGTAGGATGGGAGTTTCCTTTGTTCCTACTGAGTTGTTACTTTTTTTTTTCCTGATGTGAATCTGAGTTGAACTGCATGGTTTGATTTACTTCTTTCTTAGTTTTGAAGTCCTTTCCTAATTGGAGATGCTTGGACACGGTGGAGATACAGGTATTTAGATACCAGCATACAGCTGGGAAGTGGAATGTTTTTCTCCAAAAACTGTATCTACTCAAATTTGCTAAGCATATACAATGGAGTCTTTTAAGGCACAGCTTCTCCGTAAGTTTTTCCACAGTGGCAGGGCTTCTTTGTTGGAACAAGATATGGGACCTAATAGTTAATTTTAATTTCCTACCCCGGTGTGTAAGTAGCCACCTCTTACGGGTTTGTGTGATGGGTTTTTTTGGTAGCGGGGGCGGGGGCCGCAGGGCCGGCTCCTGTGAGAAGCTGCTGGAACCTTCCCCGGCTCCAAGTCGGACCCGCCGCTGGCCCAGCCTGAGCCCGTCAGTGACAGCGGGAGCGCCTCTGGGAGAACGGATTTAAGAGGGGGGGAACCTGCAGTGAGTCGGGGGATTGGGATGTGAGAGGAACCCTTCAGCAGACACCGAGGTCAGGGAAGAAGAGGGGATGCCCTCACAGCCCGCGGTGAGGCGGCAGGCTGGCCCCCCCCAGCCCACGGAGGGGAGCGGGGGAGCAGATGCCCACCTGCAGCCCGGGGAGGAGGACACCAGAGCGGGTGGATGCCCCCAAGATGGCCGCGACTCCATGGGGAAGCCCGCGCTGGAGCAGCCTGTGACTGAAGATCGGCCTCCAGAAAGGACCCTCCCAGGGAAGGAACTGCAGCCCGTGGAAAGGACTCACGCTGGAGCAGTTCATGGGGGACTGTCTCCCGTGGGAGGGACCCCACGGTGGAGCAGGGGAGGAGTGAGGAGTCCTGCCCCTGAGGAGGAAGGAGCGGCAGAGACAGCGTGTGAGGAACTGACCCCAGCCCCCATTCCCTGCCCCCCTGCGCTGGGAGGAGGGAGAGAAAATGGGGACTGGAGTTGAGCCGGGAAGGAGGGAGGGGTGGGGGGAAGGTGTTCTAAGATTTGGATGTACTTCTCATTACCCTTGTTTTGATTTGATTGGTAGTAAATTAAATTGATTTTGTTTTTTCCCCAAGTCGAGCCTGTCTTTTGCCCGTGACCATAAGTGGGGAGTGATCCCTCCCAGTCCTTGTCTCGACCCACGAGCCTTTCTTTATATTTTCTCCTCATCCCACCGTGGCCTGGGGGGAGGAGTGAGCGAGCGGCTGCGTGGTGCTTTGTTACCGGCTGGGTTTAAACCACGACACCAGCTCATTTGGTGTCCTGCAGGACGTAAACTCCGTGGTGCTCCGAAGTAGTTCTACTTGCCAAATTTCCTTCTTTTGCCCAGATGTAGAACAGGAAGTGGTGTCCTTGTTGTAGTCTTTGCTATGTTGTAATTGCGGCTTTTGATTTTAGACAGACAAAATTCATTATGAGGTTCTGGGAAATGTTTTGTGGCTCTACTTTTTGTGGTGGTTTAGGGAAAGGGAAGTTCATGTATCCTTTCTTGATTATTCTGTCACTGTCTGCACCTGGTGGATTTGACAACTCATGAATCCCTTTCAGTCTTTTTTTTATAATAATGCAGGGTCTGTTGAAACACTTTTAATGAATTAAGTCTTTCATAAAAAGCTTATCATAGAAGAATTTCTGTATTCCACTATTAAATGTGTTTATATATGTGCACAGCCACATACAGTGGAAGATTGCTGGATAATGGAGAAAAAACCCCACAACAAATATTTTATTGACTCAGTGTTATTGGTGAAGGGAACAGTGTTCTTGGCGAATGTCAGAAGTGGGGCTTCACCAACAGATGGCCAGACCCAATATAAAGACATGTTTGAGCAGTTACTGTCCGGAAAATCCAATGGTCCCTGAGGTTATGAACTATGTATTGAGGTGACCCATGTATGTCTCTGAAGGGAAAGGAGAAGAAATGTAAGAGTTGGATGTGGAATTTTTCTTGGCAGAAAGGTGAGGACCATGCCAAGTGCTGCTGAATGTAAATTTATTTATAACCTAATTTTTTGCAATTCATGGTGGTACTACTAAGCTTGCTTTCTATCTGAAAGAATGTGGTCATGCATATCCCTGTGCTGCTCCTTCCTGAGCATAAAGATGTAATTAAATCACTGCTGTGAGGAGTTGTGGTTCTTGTGGTTTAAGGAGCAGATTAGTGCACTTGAAAATGTTTCTTTACCTATTCCAGTATTTACATAGAATATATCTAATATTCTTCCTCCACTTCTGACTCATGGTGAAACAGTAGCAGAGCTCAGTGAAGTTGCACAAAAGCATGAGATTGCTCCTTTAAGTCATGAAAACATTCTTTATTGCATGAAGGAATATTGATGACTCCTTTTTCTGTGAGACTATACCTTCTGACTGTGGATTTCCCAAATATCAAATTGGGAGGAGGGGGAAGATCGCCACAATGGTATCAAACATCACTTCTATTGACCCTTCATTTTCACAGCACAGATGCCCCCCACTAAGGCCATCACCGCTGGTGTTTTGGTGGTGGTGAGTGAAACTTTGTCTTGAAAGTGATTGGATTGTACAGTCTGTGATTTAGCACTGACACGCATACCTGCATGCTCTTCCATACTCATCACGTTTTTCAAATGCATTAAAGGGAGATAGTGCTCTCTTACATGACACTGCAATGACTCTCCACCTGCTCCTCAACAAGGCATCACCTGCTGTATTTATAATCTTAAAATATCATGAGGCAAGACCTTGAGCTACAGGAACAGTAACTTCATTAGCCTGTTGTGAGAGTAGGCTGCCATAAAATGATATTTATTACTATCCTATTTCCTGCAAATGTCTGAGCAAATCTCTCTGAAATGAACTGTGTCTGACAGAAGAATCTTTCAATTTCAGGGCAAAATATGTCAGTTAGAATTGGGATTAGTAATACAGGAGAGACCCGGGAAACATTCTGTTACAGACTATAAGCCTTGGAATTTACTAACTACAAGCTTTGTCGTGTACTGCATCTTCCCTGCTGTAGTTTTGTGGGTGTGTAATCATGCCTATGATTTTGACTTATTGGACTTTTATCCACAATTGCAGTTAAGCTCGGCAGTGCTGTTGGTGTGTGTGTGTGTTTTGTTTGGGTTTTTTTTGTTTGTTTGTTTGTTTTGTGAACTAGTTATTGGGTTGCTGACCATCACATTTAAGTCAGCTCAGGTCTGCTAAGAGTTGTATAATGTCCTACAAACCAGAAATTGTGATGAGAATTCCACAGAGACTATGATTCATGCTTCATGTAGTTTCAACCAAGGGTGTTGATGTAAGTATCAGGCTGAGTTTACCTTAAGGGTAAATGTGTAGACCTGCAAAGCTTGATTAACTAGGTGTGATAACTCAGAGGAGTTGTTCAGAAAATTATGGATGAAAATTCAATCATCTTCTTTTGGGGGGGGGGAAGAAAAAAAAGTCCTGCAATATCACGGGTAACTAAATTTTACATGCAACCTTCAGCTTTAAAACAAACAAAAAGAATCATTACATAATCCCAATCGGGGGGGGCGGGGACGGGAATCTTATGAAAGGCTAATTATGGTTACTGGTCCTGCCAAACCTGACCACCACAAACATTTCCTTCTGCTTTGTAACAAGTGGAAATTACAGTAGGTTTCTGCAACATTGCTGTGAGGTTAACCAATCTCTATACCTTTGCAATACATTCTTTTCCATCTCCAGTGCTAAGGGTTCCTATTGCAAA